CCGAAAAAAGGTATTATAAGACTTCCCCTGTGGGTGGGGAAATGTCGGTTTCTTTCGTTTCATTATTTTGACGACCGCCCGATTTCACCACGATGCCACAAATAAAAGAGTATCGATCAGTAAAGGAATTTCAGTAAATAGATAAGGTCTGAAGGATATTTTTACTACGGCGCTTTCAACTGCATAAGGTCATATGAGCGCGCAGGACACATTGAAGATCTAAGCATTTTCAGTATGGTAGGAATTAATTTTGAATTTTGCCAGGGTGGCGATCGAAGCCTACTACTATCGATTTTATTTTGGAACTAAGGGATCTTTAACGTGTGCAACTTACCCACGGGACCTCTAAGATTTTTTGAGGCCTTATCCCAAATGGCTTGGTGTTAGATCTTATCTACTTTAAGATCAGGGGTGTTGCTGAAAGACAGCAGTAAGAGTAAGAAGGAGCCAAGGAAAGGCTGGAGAAAGAGTCAGGAGCCCAGAGAATGGGGCAGACGGGTGAGGCAGACAGTGGAGACAAACGCAGACGACAACATGGCTAGAGAGCCGGAAAGGAGGTGAGAGGAGACTTCTTTTGGAGAAGAAAATTTTCTGTCAGTGTCAGGTTGCGAACCCGAGACCTATTAAAAGAGAGGCAAAATTCAAAATTCCCTACCGTGTTCCGCTCGCTCACATGACCTTATGCAGTTGCACGCGCCGTAAAACACTTAGATCTAAAAAAAAAACCCCAAAAAACTAAGCCACACCAAATTAGAACAAATTCTCAACAAAATATTTGACCAAACATGTTGCCAAACAAAAAACCCCCATAACAAAAACAAATCAAAACAAAAGAAAACAACTTAGATCTACTATTCAATTTTTATAGAAATTATAATCTCTTGCCCTTTGCCTCAGTATCCGTGTATGGGTGTGGTTCTGATGTCGATGTAGGCTTACAATATAATCACGGGAGTTCGACGTTTCGCCACAATGACGTCACAACGCTTACCTGAAGAAAATAGAATGATCGTTTCGCCGCAAATTGAATTCCATTACAACTAATTTAGCACGTTGCGAGTTAACTCCAACACACTAACAGGGAGGTGGGACTTGGACTTTGAACAGGACGGGTTTATGTGCATGATGTAATGAAATGACAGGGAAGATAAAAAAATGTGATGTCTTAGGTACAAAATCGTTGTATTCACAAACCTGGTTCATGTGTTCCGCGCGCTCACAATATGATATGTGAGGCAGCGTGGTGAAATCAGGTTCTCGTCAATTTTTGGGCATGTAGAGTTATTGGAATCACCTTAAAGCTTGTTCGCTTGTCTTTATTTGGATTTTAAAAATTCCATTTATCT